AGTTCCCTCAGCTGTAAAATAAGGAACATAACACCCTCGTAAAATTGTGAAGATTAGCATAAACACATCTACAGCATATATTTGTTAAATTTCATTTTCTCTTTCCTTCTTGTGTTACCAATCCACTAGATCTTTTTATGATGTTTTAGTAACAAAAATAAGAGACACAGCTAAAAGCTAAAAGAAAATCATACTTCATATGATTTGAGAATCACTACTTCATTATTAGGAAGTATCAAAGATTTCCAAGAGGACCTGACCAGTAATCTTACTGGAGTTTCCTAAACAATGAAATGGCTGAGTCATCTCCCCTCCCTTCCAGAATGGGACAGCCTCAGATAGCTTCAGAAATGAAGCTGCCTTTGACATGTAGGTCCAATTTCAAGATAATTCCCCTTTTCTAGGTGCTCTAAGATTAAGGCAGGAAGAAAGTCAGTGAAATAGGTTACTGTCTTTCTTCGCTGTATGAGGTGTGGGAATGTGGGTACAAGGCAACCAGTGTAGTATAAATGGCTTCAAAATTCAACACCCATTTAGGAACAAATTCTCAGCCAAACACAGAATAAGAAAGAACTTCCTAAAACATGACATAAAGGTTACACATATAAAGTCTATGATTAACATCACACATTGAACACTTTCCCCCTAACATCAGTAACAAGGCAAAGAGGTTTATTCTCACCATTCTTATTCAACACTATACCGAAGGTCAATGCAATAAGGCAAAAAATAAAAGGCCTAAGACTGAAAAGGAAGAAATAAAAGTCTTTATTTGCATATGATATGACTGTCTATGTAGAAAATCCAGGTTATTAAGAAAAATACTAGTACTAACTAGTAAGCTTTATAACGTCACTGGTCACTGGATACAAGGTCAATATACAAAAATAATTTGCATTTCTATATTCTATCAATGAACAATTAGAAAGCAAAATATAAAACAGTAAAATATGTAATACATCAAAGGTCATTACATACTTAGAAATAAATCTTAGAAACAAAACAGGTAAGATTTATATGCCCCAAACTATAAAACACTGGTGAAATAAATAAAAAAAGATTGAAATAATTGATAGATATACCACGTTGATGGATTGGAAGACTCAATACTGTTAAAATATCAACTCTCCCCAAACTGACCTAACACAATCTTAATAAAATCCCAGCATGACTTTTTTTGTAGAAATTGACAAGCTGATTTTAAAATTTATATGGAAAAGCAAAGGAATTAGAATAGTCAAATGTTAGTAAGAAGAACAAAGTTGAAGGACTCATATTACCTGATATTCACATTTGCTATAAAACCACAGTATTGGAGAAAGGATGGATATATAGACCACTGGAAGAACAGAAAATCAAGAAATAGACCTACACATACATAGTCAATGATTTTTGACTAAGGTACAAAGGCAATTCAATGCATATCCACATGCAAAAGAATGAACTCCAATCCTTATCTTTAGTTCATTAAAAATGAACTCAAAATGGGTCTGTGGTTGCCAGGGATTGAAAGCGGAGAAAAGGTTGACTACAAAGAGGTATGAGAGACATTTGAGAGTAGGTGATAATACTATTATCTTGATTGTAAAGGTGACTGTTGAAACTCATGGAAGGTAAATTTTACTGTTTGTAAAGTATGTATTAAAATATGTAATTACATGCATAAAACATATTTTTACTTTTTTAAAAAGGAAAAAAGGTCTATTTTAGCTGCTCAGGACTATCTAGAAAGAAAAAAATTTAATTGGTAATATCCAAGCAATCATATACACACAATCACAAGTTGGTTTATGAATAGGATATAACTGAAAGAGGAAAAAAAAACTAAAATGCCCCAAGATGTGACTTAAGAATTTGCATAAATAATGGTTTCCCCATCAGCATTTGGATTCAGCTTGGAAACATGCTGGAAATCACAAGACCTGTCTTTCCTTCCCTAAATGCAAAAGGAAGCATTTCGGATGACTACTTAGTAAAATTTTCAATCTGGAAATCACACTGAACACCTTTACCTGTAATGTCCTGCCAAAGTCTCTAAATTCAACAATGAATTCTTATTCCCAAGTCTGTTCTTTGTTTATTGCTTCCTATCTCAGTAAATGGTGCCATCATCCATCAGCTGTTCAAGGTGCTATTTTTGACTCCTCCCTTTGTCTTACCTGCCCCATCCAACAAATTTATTTATCACCAAGTCCTGGTAATTCTCTCTCTCAATTAAATGCAGTGAAGCAGAAAAGAGCATGCAACCGGAAGGTGAATGTGACTGGATGAGAGGGTGAGAAGGGAGTGGTCAGAGATGCAGGTGGTGAGGCAGGGACCATATTAATTATTCTGATGTTTGTGTGCATCTCAAACACATCTCAAATATGTAGTAGTTTCTCCATCCCAACTTCTATCATTCTAGTACAAGTTACCACTTCTTTCCTCTAAATTACTTCACTATTCTTGGGTCTCCCTACATCCGGTCTTGCTGCCTTTTCAATTCACTTTCTACGCTGCAGTTAGAATGTTCTAAGAATACTGCTCTGGAAAAAAAAATGCTACTCTGATCAGATATTATTCCTTCCTTAAAACCCCTCAATATCCTGTTTCTTTTTTTGTTTTTTTAAAGATTTTATTTATTTGATAGAGAGAGACAGAGAGAGAGAAAGCAAGTATAAGCAGGGGGAGCTGCAGAGGAAGAGGGAGAAGCCAGCTCCCCACCAAGCAGGGAGCCCTACATGGGGCTCGATCCCAGGACCCTGGGGTCATGACCTGAGCCAAAGGCAGACACTTAACCGACCGAGCCACCCAGGTGCACCATATCCTCCTTGTTTCTCTGGTACAATCATCAAAGTAATGAATATGATTCCTGTTTACCACGGCAGCCTCACCTCATACCACTCACTCTCTCTAGTATTGTTGATCCAGTTATGCTCAGTGTCTAGCTTCACAGCAGAGATGCTATGTTTGTTCTATCTATATTGTTCCCTTGGCCTAGAGTATCCCTCATTCTACCTACCATTGCACGTAAATCTGTCTAGCGTACTTTCCTTTTTCCTTCAGGGGCAGCTAACATGGCACTTCCAGGAAGCCTTCCATGATTTCCCATGTTGATTAAGTCTACTCATTATCTGCTCTTACAGCATAGTTCATCTGCAAATACTTCTGGCATAATAAAAAATATATATATTTGGGCTTTGTCCCTGGTTTCTGGTACATAGCTCCTTAAACTCTTGGAATCTCTGGAGTGATAAGGAGTGCCTTCTATATACTAATGGGATGACTGGTATCTCTGGAACCCTAGATAGCTTCGGGTTGTGGGTTAGTCACTAGAAAGATCAGGCCATGCTTAGAGGGTGGGAACTTTCAGCTCTACCATCCCCTGTCCTGCCCCCCGATCTCCAACTTCTGGGGAGGGGAGAGGGGCTAGAGATTGAGTTTAATCACCAACGGCCAATGATTTCGTCAATTATGCCTACATAATGAGACCTCTACAGAAACCCTGAAATGGCCAGGTTCAAGGAGATTTTGCGTTGGGGAACACACTGAGGTCCTGGGGAGGCAGTGTGCTGGGAGAGGACACGGAAGCAACCTTAGCCTCTCCATACCTTGTCCTGCACATTTTTTCCATTTGGCTGTTCCTGAGTTGGATCCTTTAATAAACAGGTAAATGTAAAGCATTTTCCTGAGTTCTAGGAGTCGCTCTAGTGAATTATCAAACTACAGGGGGGGTTGATCATGGGAACCTCCAAATCTGTCAGGTCAGCTAGAAGGGTGGGTAACTGGGGCATCCCATTTGCAACTGGTGTTTGAAGTAAGAGTAGTCTTGTGTGAATGAATCCTTAAACCTGTGGAATCTGATGCCAGTTCCTGGTAGGTAGTGTCAGAAGTGAATTACTGGACACCTGGCTGGTGTCCAGAGTACTGACAGAATTAGTGTCAGACCTGGTGTTGGAAAAGTTGCCACATATTTGGTGTCAGAAAGAACTTGTGTTTGTAACTTCACTGGTTATATACTCCACAAGACAAAATGTCTTGTCTACCACTGGACCCCGGCACTTGGCACAGTGCCTGGCAAACTGTTCCATACACACTGGATGAATAGAAATGAATGCCTACCACCAGAGTATAAAAATTCTGAACTGTTCTCTGGGAGAAGCTAAGCCAAAGTTTTTTTCTGGGTCTACTTCTAAAACACTGTAAGCTGATGAAACAGAGAGAAAATCAACAGGTTCAACTTTTCATGAAGTGATGTTAAGGCCAACTACAGGATAGGGGGCACAGAAGAAGGAGCAGAAACAGCAAATGTGACACCTCTTCTCACTCTGAAGAGGAAATGAATCGAGAACAGAACAATGATCAAGTCATGGCAGTTAGCAACAGCTCCTCCTTCACACTGGGCCCCTTGTGTTGTCAAGTTCTGTTCTCCCAAAAGTTAAGCAGGAGAGTTCAACTGCACTACTTCCTGCTTAAGAAGAAGAAAAGAAAAGCTGTAAAATGAACAAAAGTTGTATCTACTCCATTAGTCAGATTCCAAAGGCAGTGAAAATTTCTCAAATGAACACTACTGCATGACGTTCTCTGAAGAAAGGTACCCAGCTGAGGAAACCATGCACAGAGCTCGTGTGTACTTACCTTGTCCACTGGCCCCACTTCAGGGTGACAGCTCTGCACTCTTCAGCACACAGACACTGTGAGGACTACAGCATTTGTACTTGCTGACCTCTTACTTGGTCAAATGATCCTCAGCCAACTCATGGGTGTACATCCCCTCTGTTCAACTAGATCTTAAGCTTTTTAAGGGCAGGAAATGTCTTCTCTTGCTCCTAAATCCCTGTTTTTCAGTGTGGGGTAAAGAGGAGAAGCTCTTCAAATACTGAACAGGGCTGAACAGGAGATGTCATGCACTGGATACCCATTAGGTAAATTTGTGGAGGCCTACAAGAAAAATGAGGCCAGGCCTGAAAGACACTGGTAAGAAAAGACTAACTCCATCTTGCCATGAAAACAAGTCTTACCTGGGATGGGGCTGTCTTCCCCGTTTTAATTTCAGATGAATTTTCACTTAATTTCCCTACTTTGTTACTTGAGCTGCATTTGTAGCATGTCCATCTCGTCTGCCCCTCAGTCTCTGTGGTGCACTCTTTGTTTTGCAGACAGAATGAGTGATACAAATGGCCACAGCTGCAAAATGAAGGAACCAATTTACACTTTTCTCATCATAAAATCCCCAAACATATGCTACGTTAGACTGTACTTATAAGTGATAAAGATTTCCAATAAGCTGGAACGCACTGACTGTTGTACAGTTAGGAAGAAATGAAATTTGCTTTTTGCTGTCCTCTCTTTTAAAATCTGGACACACATTTGTACACTTAAGTTGTCAGCAGGAACAGAATCACAGTACTGTGACTGCAAACCACCTGGGAGATGACTTGAACTTCTGTTCATTTCTCAAACTATGAAATATTTTTAGATAGTATAAAAAATGCAATTGGGGAAAATCATAATGATTTAAGTAGCTTGATGACAACATGAGTGGTCCGTCTCATCAAATCCAAGGCAACAGTTGTGATTTGATTAAGTATTTATGAAAATGTCAGTACTACATTAAATTCTTACACTATTCATAAGAAGAAATTCCCTGTGGATTACTAAAAAGGCCTCCCAGAACTGAGTGTTGAATATAATTCTCAATCATCTATACTGATTCCTCCTCACTTCTTCAACCTGAAATGTTGGACCACCTCAGAAGTCAATTCTTTCCTATAGTCTTTTTCTACTCTTTCTCTTCTACAGCTATGCTTTGCTCCTTTGGTTATTACTTCCGGTTCCATAGCTTTACGATACCACCTACATGCAGATGGGATGTCTTATAGGCAACATGTGTCAAACCAAATTCTTGATTTCCATCCTGCTCTACTCCCACTGCATGGCTCTCATCCAACCTTCCACATCTCAATAAAAAACAACTACATTCTTCCAGTTTCTGACGCCAAAAACTTTGGCATCATTCTTGACCATTCTCTTGCACACCTCACATCCAATCTATAAACAAATCTTATCAGCTCTACCTTCAAAATATATCCAGAATCCTACCATTTCTTACTTCGTTACTACCACCTCGGGCCATCTCTCACTTAGATTACTGCAATAACCTAACTGGTCTCCCTCCTTTCACCGTTGACCTTCTGTAGTCCATTCTCAACATACCAAAGTGATCCTTAAGACATAGACCAGATCATGTCAAACCCATCCTCAACCATCCAATGGCTTTTCATCTCAGAGTAGAACTTTTAACTCTTTATAATGACCCAGTTCCTACATGATTTGGCCTGTTCTTCCTCTGAAGCCATCTCTTATCATCTTCCCTTTCCTTCACTCTGCTCTGTCAAGACAAGCCTACCCACTCACTACTCAAGTTCACCGATATGCTCCAGCTTCATGGTTTCTGCACTTGCTGATTCTCTGCCTGGGGCACTCTCTCCCTGATACTGCATGGCCACTTCCCTTCCGTCTTTATTCAAATGTCATTAAACTAGTGAGGCTTTCCCTAATTACTCTTTCAAAATTAGTAGCTCCCAACATTCCTTTACACCATACTTTATTTTATTCCAGGTAATCATTACATTTTTATTAATTTTTAAATTGTCTGTTATTAAGTCACCGTATCAGTGATGCTTTCCCTGATCACTCTATATAACATATCTTCCCCCAGCAAACACTGTTCTCATTTAACATGTCTTATTTTTTTCCACCATAGTCACCAGCAGGCATTTTACTTGTCTGTCCCTGCTACTAGGAGGTAAACTCCATGAGAACAGATCCTTTGTTCTGTTCATACTGTACCCTATCCCTTTGAAAAGTGCCTGGCATACAGTATGAGCTCAATAAATATGTGCTGAATGAGTGGACTCTTTATGTGATGAGAACTTCTTCCCCTTCCAACCATCAAATCTACCAATCTTCCTGTGTCTATAATAATAGAAGCTAAAACACTTACATAATGCTTACTATATGTCAGCATGATTACAGGTGTCTTATGTAATTTATCTCCTTTAATCTTCACAAAACCCTAAGGAAAAGGTATCATTATTATCCCAATTTACAGATGAGGAAACTAAGATGAAAAGAGATTAAATAACATGTCCAAAGTCTCATAGGAAGTAGGTGGTAGAACCAGGATTTGAACTCCAAAAGTTTGGCTCCAGAGTCCATCTTATGTCTCCACCCATATAGTCTCCCAACTCCTACGCAGAATGTTAAGGTCTCTGACAGGAACTTTGCCTTGTTCTGGTCACTGCTAGAATGATTGCCTAGGGCTGTGTATCCACGTGTATCCCTGCCTGGTAATACCATACATGTCACACACCATATGTATAACATTTCCTTTCTCTTGCTTACCTAAAGACAATGATTTCATCAGCCATTTCTTGGCGTCTCTTGTACTGCTGCAAACATATAGAGCAGTAATCCTGCTTGGGATTCAGTCCTCTGGTGACTGAAGCTCTCAGGTTACACAATGACCAATGGAGATCTTGGTTTAGAAGGCTAGTAGTTGTTTCCAGCAGTGTCTATGAAAGACCAAAACAACAAACACACACACACACAAATGGTTTATTAAGTGAAAGAGACAGAGGGGGTGAGGGAGGAATAGCACTGTTGAGTTTTCAGCCACAAACAACTGAAGTTAGAATATACTATGAAGGCATAACATTGATAAAACAAACACCAAATACTCCCAAACTTAAGTAGTTAACTTTGCTGTGCAAGTAATGGCAACTGCCTACATTAAGATTCTCAAAATACTTATTAAAAGGCTGTCATTAGTTTCTACTGAGCAACGTGTGCTCTGCCATTCTGTGGCTTAATTCAGTACTGATGGCTTTCGAATGACTAGATAAAGCCAAACCTATTTATTTATTACATTTCTATACTAAGTTCCCTCTGAATGATTCAAAGCATTAACAAACAACCAAAAAATCCTGATTTTTTGTTTTTTGTTTTTAATAGAAACTGCATCTGTGGCAATATTTCAAATAACCTTTCACTGAAAAAGCTAATGGCCATTACTCAGTTTTCATCTCCCTTGGGCAGAGAGATCACATTTTCCTGATCAGCACTTACAAGTCATTTGAATCTACTTAAGACTGTGACATCTGTAAGTCACATAAAGACATTTTCACAGCAATCACATTAAGCCCTTTTAGGCTCTGTGTGCTTGTATTGTTTTTATACTATCTAATTCTCAACATTCATATATATATCATTTAGATGTGCAGTCCCAAATGGGAAGACATACTGCCCATCCTCCTTGCTAGTCCTTTAATTTTATCTGTAATGCAGAATTTTTAAGTCTAACAGTCTTACCACTGCAATTCTTTCCAATCAACCCCATCTTTTCCTCCTCTTCGAAGAGTCTGCAAAAACTTGCTGCCTTGCCCTCAGCTTCCCTTCTGCCAACACGGAGTCCATGCCTGCAGGGGTGTTTCACTGTTTCACTGGGTACACTGAGCAAAACTGCAGTTCTTAAACACCCTAAGAAAAGCTCTTTCACCCCCAATTTTTCTTTTCTTCTCTTGGATTATTAAAAGAGTAGATACTGTATCTAACATGCCTAAATGGTGCTTTTCCTAAGTGGCTTCATGAGTCACTTTGATGTATACTAAGAAAAAAAAATCTGTATACCATGCTGGCTCCTATTGGGAATTAATGCTATAGACAGTTCTGAGTTAAAGGAAAACTAATGACCATTTTTGGTTAGTGGCAACTATCTGCTTCAGAATATTCAAAAGAAAAGGAATTTCTTTTTTTTTGCAATTTTCTTTTTTTTTTTAAAGATTTTATTTATTTGACAGAGAGAGATAGCGAGAGCAGGAACACAAGCAGGGGGAGTGGGAGAGGGAGAAGCAGGCTTCCCGCCAAGCAGGGAGCCGGATGTGGGACTTGATCCCAGGACCCTGGGATCATGACCTGAGCCGAAGGCAGACGTTTAACGACTGAGCCACTCAGGCGCCCCCTTTTTTGCAATTTTCTATACTCATGCTGACTCTTTCTTTTCATGGGTTACATCTTTGCATTAAATTATTTTTCCAGAATTTTTCTGACACTTTTCATTTGGAAAAAAAGAACTGTTCCGTTGCTAACAAATCAATGAGTCCAAATTTGATGCATTTCCACATTCTAGAATATCTATGTGTGTATGTATACATAGATACACCAAGAGACTTAAAACCTTTTAAAAAGCATACACTTCAATCTACCAAACTTCCATTAAATAGACAGGAATTTTTTTTAAAGAAAAAGTATAGGTGCAAAGAAAAAAGAAATAGCTTCTTTTTACCTTAGGACAGCCTTAGAAATAGAAAGTAGCTTACTTGTTCATAGTTAAAGGTATCCAACATTCCCAGAATAAGTCCCTGGATTTCTCCAAGTTTTCCTTTTCCATAAACTGGATCCTAATTAGAAAAAAGTTGCAAAAATTTTAATTCTGTTCTTGGTATTTTAAGATTAATATATAAGTTATCTGGAAACGCCAAATACTCAAACACTTTCCCACAGTCACGACATATTTATTCTTCTATGAACCTTTCACGGGAAATGCATATAGGTTTCCCTCTGGCCATCACAAATATTGTGAAAAGATAAGTAAAATTTAAGTGATACAAGCCCCTTACTTAACAATCTTTTTTGCAAGTCCCAATAAAGTTCACCCTGGTTTTCGTTCGGCAAGAAGCTTCCTCTCCTTCATATTTAAACATCACCTGTCCCTCTCTGCGCCCTTATTTATCTGCTATATGAAAACCAACATTCACCTGAATATCAGAACCTGTCCCAACAACGCTTCCTGTGACCCACATTGGGCCACCTCCTGGCCCCCATCAACTAAATCGCTTCAGTTAAGGAGACAAGACTTCAGTTTAGTTTCTGGATCCAAGGAGCAGCTTTCAGTTTTCCAAAGTTTTTTTCAATAAAGTTACTACTGATAAACAACAGATACCTAGACACCCACTCTCTCCTCCACTGCTTTTCTGCTGAGGTATAACAAGTAACTTGTTTATTACGTACAATTTGGAAAACACTGAAGTGTACAGAAACAAATAATAAAATAAACAGACAAGGGGGGGCGGAGCAAGATGGCGGAGGAGTAGGAGACCTAGATTTCGTCTGGTCTCAGGAATTCAGCTGAATAGGGATCAAACCATTCTGAACACCTATGAACGCAACAGGAGATCGAAGAGGAGAGTAGCAACAACTCTCTGAACAGAGAAGCGACCACTTACTGGAAGGTAGGACGTGCGGAGAAGTGAATCCGAGGCGATATTCGGGAGGATAGACGGCGGGGGAGGGGCCTCCGCCGGCCGCTTCTGTCAAGTGCTAGAGCCGCGGAGCACAAAATCGGAACTTTTAGAAGTCGGCTCCGCTGAGGGACGTCGCTGCAGTGGCTAAGCAGGGTGTGGAATCCTCCCGGGACGGTGTGGTCTCAGGACCCTCGGGGTCACAGAAAGACCGGGGGTGCCTGAGTGCGGCAGAGCTCCCAGGTATCGGAGCGGGGAAGCCGGCTGCAGAGACGGAGCCGAGGCGCGGGCTCTCAGCTCGGGGTTGCCATAAACTGTGATCCGCGGCCCAGTCGGGCCACTGCTCCTCCAGCAGGGACCCAACAAGTGGCAGAGCCGGGGAGACTCCCCTTCCTTCCCGGGGAGGAGCGGTGCGGGAACGCACCGCAGGGATCTGCTGGGTTTGGAGACTCCACACAGGGTCGGGTGCCAGAGATAGCAACGTTCGGTCGCAGGCCGGGTGAGCACGGAGTGCGGCCGGAGACCAGGGACACGGGAGTGACTGCTTTTCTCTGGGGACGCACTGAGGAGTGGGGCCCCGAGTTCTCAGCTCCTCCGGGTGGAGATTGGGAGGCCACCATTTTTGCCCTGGTCCTCCAAGGCTGTACCGAGAGCTTGCAGGGAACAAAATCTCCTGAGATCAAACCCGATCAGCTTGCTTAGCCCGGACCGACAAGGGCGGGGCAATTCAGCCTCCGGCAAAGACATTTGGAAACCACAACAACAGGCCCCTCCCCCAGAAGATCAGCACGAACAGCCAGCAAGCCAAGACCAAGTTTACCGATCAAGGAGAACGGGCGAACTCCAGCGCTAGGGGAATACTGCACATAGAATTCATGGCTTTTTTTTACCATGATTCATTAGTTCATCAAAGTTAATTTTTGTTAACTGTTTTTCTTTTATTTTTCTTTTTCCCTTTTTCAACCAACATCTTATCAATCCTTTTAAAAAAAAACATTTTTTATTTTTCATTTTTAGAGTCATATTTTATCCCTTCATAGTAGTTACCCTTATTTTTGGCATATATATATAAGTTGTTCTCTCTTTAAAATTTTGAGATACAGTTTCTTCTAACAGATCAAAATATACCCTAAATCACTAGTGTATGGCTTTGTTCTAGTCTCCTGCCTGATCACATTCTCTCCCTTTTTCCTTTTTTTTTTTCTTAAATTTTCTTTCTTTTTTCAAACAACTTATCAAGTCCTTTTATAAAATCTTTTATAATTTTCATCTTTACAGTTATCTTCCATCCCTTCATTGTATCAACCCTTATTTTGTACATATATGTTTTTCTTCCTTTAAAATTTTAGGAGGCACTATTTTCTAACAGACCAAAACACGCCCAAAATCTAGTGTGTGGCACTGATCTATGCACTAGCCTGATCATATCTGATCATATTCTGCTTTTTTTGGATTGTTCTGTTTTTGTTATCTTTTTTTTTCTCTTTCTTTTCTCTATCTTTCCCTTTCTTTTCCCCTGGTCTCAGGTCTTTTCTGATTTGTATACAGTATATTTGCTGGGGACGTTGTAAACCTGTTAGCATTTTGTTCTCTCATTCATCTATTCTCCTCTGGACAAAATGACAAGACGAAAAAAATCACCTCAGCAAAAAGAACAAGAGGTAGTACCGTCAGCCAGGGACCTACTCAATACGGACATTAGTACGATGTTGGACCTAGAGTTCAGAATCATGACTTTAAAGATACTAGCTGGGCTTGAAAAAAGCGTGGAAGTTATTAGAGAAACCCTTTCTGGAGAAATAAAAGAACTAAAATCTAACCAAGTCGAAATCAAAAAGGCTATTAATGAGGTGCAATCAAAAATGGGGGCACTAAATGTTAGGATAAATGAGGCAGAGGAGAGAATCAGTGATATAGAAGACCAAATGATGGAAAATAAAGAGGCTGAGAAAAAGAGAGAGAAACAACTACAGGATCACGAGGGCAGAATTCGAGAGATAAGTGATACGATAAGATGAAACAACATTAGAATAATTGGGATCCCAGAAGAAGAAGAGAGAGAGAGGGGGACAGAAGGTATATTGGAGCAAATAATAGAGAACTTCCCTAATGTGAGGAAGGAAACTGGCATCAAAATCCAGGAGGCACAGAGAACCCCTCTCAAAATCAATAATAATAGGTCAACACCCCGACACCTAATAGTAAAACTTACGAGTCTCAGAGACAAAGAGAAAATCCTGAAAGCAGCTCGGGAGAAGAGATATGTAACCTATAATGGTAGAAACATTAGATTGGCATCAGACCTATCCACAGAGACCTGGCAGGCCAGAAAGGACTGGCAAGATATCTTCAGAGCAGTAAACGAGAAAAATATGCAGCCAAGAATACTATATCCAGCTAGGCTGTCATTGAAAATAGAAGGAGAGATAAAAAGCTTCCAGAACAAACAAAAAATAAAGGAATTTGCAAATACGAAACCAGCCCTCCAAGAAATATTGAAAGGGGTCCTCTAAGCAAAGAGAGAGCCTAAAAGCAGCAAAGATCAGAAAGGAACACAGACAACATACAGTTAACAGTCACCTTACAGGCAATACAATGGCACTAAATTCATACCTTTCAATAGTTACCATGAATGTAAATGGGCTAAATGCCCCAATCAAAAGACACAGGCTATCAGATTGGATTAAAAAACAAGACCCATCGATATGCTGTCTGCAAGAGACTCATTTTAGACCCAAAGACACCCCCAGATTGAAAGTGAGGGGGTGGAAAACCATTTACCATGCTAATGGACACCAGAAGAAAGCTGGGTTGGCAATCCTTATATCAGACAAACTAGATTTTAAAACAAAAACTGTAATAAGAGATGAGGAAGGACACTATATCCTACTTAAAGGGTCTATCCAACAAGAAGATCTAACAATTGTAAATATCTATGCCCCGAACATGGGAGCAGCCAATTATATAAGGCAATTAATAACAAAAGCAAAGAGTGCTACGGTGAGCGCTGTGAATTGTGTAAGACTGTTGAATCAGTTGATCTGTACTTCTGAAACAAATAACGCAACATATTTTAAGAAAAAAGAAAAAGAAGAAGATAGCAGGAGAGGAAGAATGAAGGGGAGTAAGTCAGAGGGGGAGACGAACCAGGAGAGATGATGGACTCTGAAAAACAAACTGAGGTTTCTGGAGGGGAGGAGGGTGGGGGGATGGGTTAGCCTGGTGATGGGTATTGAGGAGGGCACATTCTGCATGGAGCACTGGGTGTTATGAACAAACAATGAATCATGGAACAGTACACCAAAACAAATTATGTAATATATGGTGATTAACATAACAATAAAAAATTTAAAAAAAATTAACAAAAGCAAAGAAACCCATTGACAACAATACAGTAATAGTGGGGGACTTTAACACCCCCCTGACTGAAATGGACAGATCATCTAAGCAAAAGATCAACAAGGAAATAAAGACTTTAAATGACACACTGGACCAAATGGACTTCACAGACATATTCAGAACATTCCATCCCAAAGCAACGGAATACACATTCTTCTCTAGTGCCCATGGAACATTCTCCAGAACTGATCACATCCTAGGTCACAAATCAGGTCTCAACTGGTACCAAAAGATTGGGATCATTCCCTGCATATTTTCAGACCACAATGCTTTGAAACTAGAACTCAATCACAAGAGGAAAGTCGGAAAGAACTCAAATACATGGAGGCTAAAGAGCATCCTACTAAAGAATGAATGGGTCAGCCAGGAAATTAAAGAAGAACTAAAAAAATTCATGGAAACCAATGAAAATGAAAACACAACTGTTCAAAATCTTTGGGATACAGCAAAGGCAGTCCTGAGAGGAAAGTATATAGCAATACAAGCCTTTCTCAAGAAACAAGAAAGGTCTCAAATACACAACCTAACCCTACACCTAAAGGAGCTGGAGAAAGAACAGCAAATAAAGCCTAAACCCAGCAGGAGAAGAGAAATCATAAAGATCAGAGCAGAAATCAATGAACTAGAAACCAAAAGAACAGTAGAACAGATCAATGAAACTAGGAGCTGGTTCTTTGAAAGAATTAACAAGATTGATAAAGCCCTGGCCAGACTGATCAAAAAGAAAAGAGAAATGACCCAAATCAACAAAATCATGAATG